TAACCAACTGTATTTTGAATTGGGAGATTTTCCACATTTCAGTATGATTTTCAATTGAAATAAAATCATAGGACATCGTTTTTGAAAGACGTGTGAAATAATGGATAGGTAAAAATACAATGCCTGAAAGTTGCACCCCTAAAACATTAGTTCAGGGAAGTACAACTGTATCATTTCCATAAAAAATACATGTAGGTACTGCCTAAGGGTTTGTTTTTGTGGAGGTGGATTTGGTGATTATAGCGAAAGAGAAATAATACTTTGACCGGGATCAATCACTACATTAACAGTGATGTCAGATATTCATTTACCCCTTTGCGAGCATTAACAGTGATGTCAAATATTCATTTACCCCTTTGCGAGCAATCGTACTACTCGGTCATTTCCGTGAATAATAACTCAAGGAAAATAGCCGTGTTGTTACGAATGCCAAGGCGAAATGATTTCAGAGTAGGAACTTGTTTGGTTTTGTATAGTCAGCGGTCTGTCCCCTTGTCAAGGATCCTTTCAAATAAAAATTTTCTAGAGATTGAAGCATGGTTATGTTGATGATGTAGAAAAAAGGTGAGATAATGTCGAAATTGAATATATTCCTTGAAAATTAACTACTACCTTTATTACTTCTATATAAATGTACAGAATTATAGATATTTTCTTTCTTCAACCTTAATATTATCACTATTTTACAATGTATACAATCATATAAATACTAAAATTTGTTCTTAGATATTGAAAGAAAAAAACTTTTAAAAAACATCTAGAAAAAGTAATTTCTAATCAATACAAAAGGCTGATTTAGTAATGACGTTCCAATTAACAATAACGTTTTGTGACGTTATTCAACGTTTTATAGCGTCATCTTGTTAACATTGCATTGATTTTGTTTTAGAGTTTTAATTAGAATTTAAAAGGTATATAATAAAAAATTTGGTGTCAAAATATTCAGAAAAATTAACTCTTTCAGAAACGGTCAAAAACCTATTTTCGAAAATTTTGTCACGAAGGTCCCTTTTCGCTTGACGCAACTCATTTCACATTTATCCCCTTTTTAAACAAGAGTGATGTTTTCATTTTTCAAAAGTATCAGCACACTCAACTTACCTGATCATGTTGTTTGTAAATAAAAACAAACATGTGTTAGCTAGGGTTTTTTTTTCAACAGCAGGTATTTCTTCAGTACATGTATCTCTGTAGATTTTTTTCTGTGGTAAAAAAAAAAATCAATCATTAAATTTGAAATTCAAAATAGATGTGAATATTGTGATGTACAACCTAGCACCAAAACGACCAATTAGCATGATCTGCATCAGTGTGATTCAAGGATACATATTTTTAAAGCTGTTTAATCATGTTAATTTTTTCAAAGCTTTGTGCACTGTAAAAGATATGAAGGCAACTTATAATTTTGGAGGAAACAGTTTTGTGAGATAATTCAGATAAATATAATTATCATAGCTAAAACAAATGATTCAAGGGTTCACTTGTATAATATGGCACATAATAGCACATTTGATTCTGATGATTCAGCACTTTGGTAAAACAGGGAATGACCAGTTCCTATACAAATCTATACTTAAAAAGTCTAATATTTCCAATATTTTACTGAGTGGTCATTAAAAAAGGCAATGTTTGTCCTTGGAGTGGGATATTGGACCTGCCGATGAGATATTGGACCGGTTACATAACACAATGGACAGGATCAGCTAAATCTCATTAGCATTCCTTTGTGTTTGACAGTGACGGAATTGACCGATCATGAGTTTCATCAAAGTGCTGGTAAAGGAAATTTATATTAAGGAAGCCAGCACAAGATACATGTATTTTAAAAAATAAAAGGTATAGTAACAAAATATTTATTAACTGTTTACTCAGGCAAAATGTTTCGTTGACCTCTAAAACCAAACTGTTTGCCTTCGTCTTAACACGTTTCCTTTGAACCCAGTCAATAATATATGTATATTGTGAGATGGTATTGCACTCGCATCAAGACTGGAGGACTGACTGAGCAAAAAGAAAATTGAAAGGCTCAGGCATGTCAGGCGGCTTCGACATTGTGTCCTTGGAGATAATTTGTATTGAAAGTGGTTTATTCTATGACAAGAAGCTTTTGATGGAGATACTCTGGTGAAGACAGTGAACTATATTGTACATTTGCAGTCCTTTCTATCTTAGTTATGTTTTACCACAGAAATACAATATTTCTATTTATACTGCTCACAACATAAGCTGGGTTATTTGATTCTATTAGCATGAAGCCAGGTTTATCTGGCTTAATAGTTCAGCTCGGTCAAATTCTATCAGAATCAAGTATGCTTATAAACTAGGCTACCCTAATTAGGAATTGTCCTTAATGCAATTTATGTTGCATCCAAAATCCTTTTTACAAAGTTATTGATAAGATTTGTCTGCATTGAAAAACTGTATTAATATTTATGAATAAATAATATCAAATGTAACATTGAAAAAATATATAGACCTACATTTAAATACGGTTACCTGTTCCAAATGTTCAGTGTTGATGTCAACATGGTCAATCAGAAAGTTTTAGCTTAGGTCCTGGCATTCCTGGTTCTTGGTTCATCAAAGTGCTGGTAAAGGAAATTAATATTCATTTACATGTTTACAAACATGCACTTAAAAACTTTTTTATGTTCATTAAGTTAAACTCCGGAATGAGATGCCAATATATCTTAGACATTCTTCAGAAAAGATCGTTCTTTCAAATCGATGACATACCCCTGAGTCTTAAAACGTCTTCAAAAATAATACGGGTACCACAGTTAATCGTCTTTGTCAGAAACATCAACTTGAACTTCATGATCATCGTCTCAAGCCACAGTTACCGTTCAGAGTCCGCTCATAGGCATAGAACCAAGAATGGGAGAGGATCGTACATTTTGGCCGTAGTATACATTAACCGTTCTCTCGTCGTTTTTTTTTTTTTTTTTTTTTTTATCATTATTATTAACATCATACGTATGTGTTTTTGTACACCTAGCCTGGTTCCCTGTCCCTGTTTTGCTTCGTGTACTCCGCGTCACTGCCTTGGCAAGGTAGACTGGCTTTACGCGATTCGAACGATAGAGACAGGCTATTGGCAAGGATGAGCCAGGGGACCAGGCTATTGTTGATATGCGCTTTCGGTAAATGTCGTAAAAAATAATTTATTTATAGAATCAACAAATGAATATAAATCGAAATGTTTACAATATTCTGGAATTGAGAGGAAACGTTTAAAACTCTTCAAAAGAATTAAAAATGTATATATTTTTTTTTTATCTTTTGCGATACATAGTTACGTCAATCTAATTCAAGGCATATGCGCGGTTTTCTGCGCAGTGGCGCGAAATTTCGAATTAGGTCCGTCGTCCTTAAGTCAGTGTAAAAACTATAAACAATGCAACCCTGATCAGTATAAAGGCATTAAGCATAGATAGTGCAACACTAAATGATATAAATTTGAACATTATATTTTGACAATGGTATGTTATGTTGACAAGTTTTAACCTCTGTTTCTGTTTCCTAATACTTTACAATCGAAACAATACTAATCAGGAATTAAATATATATAGTGTAACAACTATACTGTATTCATATATGTATGTTACATTTTCTTAACTTACAATTGTAAATACTAGTATACATTTGTCTTTGCCACTAGGACAAGTGGCAAGTTCGGTTGAAATTAGTCCAATATTGTTCTTGAGAAGAAGTCGAAAATATGATAGGCGCACCGACGACAGACGACACACAACAGACGGACGCAATACCCTCTTCGATCAGGAAAGCTCACTTAAGCCTTCTGCTCATGTGAGCTAAAAATACAGACTTTTGGCATCATTTTTTTAATGAAATTGTAATCTTCAACTATTACAGCACTTGCATGCTGTATGTCCTGTCAAGGAAAACGATAATTCTTTAAATTTGACATTCTTTTATAATTCTGAGCTCGAACGAAACTTTTCACTTAAAGAGTATATGGCACGTTAAATTATAATGAAAAATTTACGTGTTTCAAAGTTAAAAAAAATCTTTTATATGATCATTACAACCTAGGCTTATTTTTAAATACTTTTCCTTCTTTTAGAAATACATGCCTATGTTCTACGTTTTGCAGTCCTTTGTTTTCGAAAAATATGCATTGAAAGAAAATTTCCACGATAGATCTTTGTGAGAGATCGTCAGTTTCGCGGTTAAATAAATCGGTGATTTGCTTTCTTATATCTCTGCAAAAAGGTCTTATTGTGGATTGTAAATTTAAAAGGTTATTACCGTGCTTTCATTAATGTTCGAATGTTTTTTTTTTTTTTTTCATGGTTTTGGCCAAAAATATAATTTTGTGACATTTTAACTTCTGGCACTTACATGTACCTAGTCCAGTAATACCATTAGGAGAATATGTGATTACGAAGTTCTTTTCAGTTCTTTTACAGTAGCTAATGATTCGTTTCAATATAAATTGTATGTATTTATGCACAGAGGTTAAAGACACGTCTTTGCAACTTCAACGAGTTCGTTTTTTCTCCGAGATATATATTTACAAGGCCCATCAATTAAACATGTACATGTACATTGAAAGAAAAAATGTATGATGTTTAACGGATATACATGATACCGGCAGACGGAAGCGTGAAAGATCTAATTTTAATTCTAAATGTAAAATGCTGAAGAAATAGAGCACCACAGGGTCGCTGGAATCTGGGGAAGCTTTCTAAATTCATTCAGTGATCGAGGTTATCTCGCTTTCAAGACTCTTGAATTTAAAAAAATGGCCTTAGTATACTGGGACTCCTCAACATTTTAAAACCCAATTGGAAAAATCAGTTAAAACAAATAGTTTTTGTTTTGTTTTTTTTCTTTGTGTGTGTGTGTGTTGGGGGGGGGGGTCAAAATATTTATAGCGATAGTATTATGCGGAAAAGACGTATACCATGGCTAGTTAATGGGGCTATGCCGTTCATTGAAATGAACCACTTATATGAACATAGAGAATAAGGCAGAAAGGAACAGATAAGTTACTTTTTTACGCAAAGCGGTCTTTCAGAACAACGTTATACGAGGTGGGAATTTTTTTAAATAAAATTTAACGTATACCATGGCTAGTAAATGGGTTTGTACTGTTCATTGAAAATAACCACTTATATGACTGTAGAGAAAAAGGCAGAAAGAAACAGAAAAGTTACTTTTTTACGCAAAGCGATCTTTCAGAACAACGTCATACGAGGTGGGAATCTCAGTTCCACTAAGTCCGCTGCACACTCCTGTAAAATCAGGATCCACTCCATCAGGTAACCTAAATTCAAATCTTTGCAGAAGATACGCACACAGTGTAACTATCTCCGATTTTGCCAAGGCTTCCCCGAGACATGATCTCACCCCAGCTGCAAACGGCAACCAACCATCTGGTTTACCCTCCAGTTTCCCATCCGCTGTCAAGAAGCGATATGGATCAAACTTCTCGGGAGTTTTCCAATATCTTGGGCTCAAATGGATAGCATATATATTAATCATGACTGTGGTGTCTTTTGGAATGTCATATCCACCAACCTGCGTGTCACATAGAGTGGAATGGGGTAAGCCAAATGCTGCTACATTTCCAAGTCTCAATGTTTCGTACACGCAGGCTTCAGTGAATGGTAAGTTTGGTCGGTCATTTATTGATGGGCGTCTGGTTCCTGATAATATAATTACGAAATTGAGTAAAAAAATGCAATTAATTGCAATCACACCATGGTAATTATATAAAAATATGCACTGCTTATTCAAAATATATATAGCTTGCATATGAAATATTTGGCATTGTTATAAAACAAAAGTATACTTATAAAACCGAACTGACCTATCACAGAATCGATTTCTTGTCGGCATTTTTCTTGAATTTCGGGTATCCCTGACATGAAGCAGACGAACCAGTCCATCGCCATTCTTGTCGTATCGACTCCAGCTGTGTTTAATTTTTTTTTTTTAGATTTTGTATTGTGAAAATAATATTTTAAAAAAATCAATACTGACTGAGTAATCAGAGGTCTACTAATTGACTAACCGTAGAAGACAGCTAAAACAGTCTGAAGAATACGAGTGTCGTTCATGACTCTCACAACTTCCTCATCGTGCGATTCCTCAGCCTCGTTTCGACACAAAAGTAGTTGGTCTGTTATATCCCGGATGTTATCTGAAATAAATCCATTCCAATGTTGCAAAAGCTAGAAACTGTCATATATTTAACCAGTTTACGAAAGATTTATCCACTGATGAAAGAAACCTCTTAAAATGCTTTTTTCGCAGAGAAACATACGTCTTAACTATTTCTAGATGTCAGTGTATTATACAAAAAAGAGATTGCAAAAATATATATCATATGCAATAAAATCTTATCAGATCTTATCAGATCAGCCGGTCTGCTGTCTGAAATGGGTTCAGTGTTTTCAGCAGAAAACAAAAATTAAACGATGATTAATTTGATTAACTAATTAAGTAAAACATTAACTATTTGCATATAATACATGTATACAACGTATTAGTGATCAAGTACAATATATATATATATATATATATATATATATATATATATATATATATATATATATATATATATATATATATATATATATATATTCAATATAATAATCAGATACTTACTTTTATCAAATGACCTCTTATGTTCCTCTAAGTAGCCATAAAAGATGTGTAATAAATTGTTCACCAATTTTACGTACTGACAATAATTTTTTGAGGGCCACAGTTTTTCAAAAATAGGATAAATATCTTCCCGAAATCCTCCACCGAAGGTTTTGTCAATCTCTTCAACTCTCTGAATGAAATTTTCTATCTCTTCGTCTGTGCTACAATACCATGATTTATTTGATAAAACGTAATAAGTGACTTACTTTTATCATTTTATCCACAGCAATAAAAAACCAAATTGCATACAAGTGTATTTTCCGCTCATAATTGTTTTAATGGGTGAAAAAAAATTACTACGTATAAAACGTGAAATGATATCGAAAGGAAAATTCAAATTATATTAAATTCAGTTTGGCCCTGTTGTCAGTTTTAATTCAATATGGAATAGAATAACTTATTTTAGAGATATAAAATCCTTAATTTTGGATATTTTTATGAAGTAATAAATAAAGAATAATTCAAAATCTTTCATTTTTTTTTTTTATTATGCGATACAAAGTTTTGCATTACAAGAACATTTTGGTCAACAAACACTTCATGAATATTATCATTGTAAAACTTTTAAAAGTTGAAAGTCCGGATAAAACAACGTTACACCGAAAGATTACAGTAAAGGATCTCCACAACCATGCTTTCGAGACCCGTTTAAAACTTTTGAATCCCTTATTCATATTTAAGGCTCTTTCCAAAACATCTGGTGTTTTAAAATGTAAAATTGTCAAACTAACCGTTACTTTGGATAAAAGGACAAATAACGTTGTATTTAAAGATTTCAAAGATATTTTTTAATTATTTTATTTTAAATTTTTGTAAACATTATAAACTGTGTAATAGTATATTTCCAAGTTTTCGAACAACTGACTCGGTCCAACTGTGTGCTAGCTAATTAAATTAAAAGATGGCATAACTTCCTATCTTAATATAACTACCATAAATTTGGAAATTTTACTGTAGATAATTTTTTAGCAAATTTGCACGTGCATTGCATTCGCAAAAATATTTTTCTTAAAAATAAATCAACAAGAAAAAATGTATTTAAAAAAAAAAAAAAAAAAAAAAAAAAAAAAAAAAAAAAATTGCTGACAGCTGGTGTCTATTTTTTAACCCGGTAAACAGGTAATCGTAAGTAGTGATCATTTTTAGAAATCTGTTTATACTGTAAGTTAGTTACCCATGATAATCCGTGCTTAAACTATCGTCCGATGGTTTGACAGGCAGTATGTCTCTTTTAAATTATTTCCCAAAGAAAGAGAGGACAGTTGTTTTATCTAACAACGAATCCCTAGATTGTTAACGAAGAACTTAATCTCGTGTATAATGAAACCCCGACGAAAGAAAGGAGATTGTATGTACATGCGTAATTTATTGTATGCACTTACGTAACTTATAAACTGTTATATAAATTTTAACTGCTTTTTATTTTTAGCACCAATGACAATTCGCAAAATATTTTAAAAACGTAAAATCAATCGACACCTTTTTGACCCAGATTCGCAAAAATAATTCGACGTAAACATTTCCAGATTTACGGTATTGCATTTAAAGATGTGAAACAAAAGCTGAGCACATACCTTTTTCCAAAGCATAAAGTATACAGAATATGGAATTGAATCTTGTTCAGGTATTCTTTTGCTGCTAAGGGTTTATTTACCGCTGACATCTTGTCCATAAATTTTATCATTTTGTTTTCAATTATTTCATCCATAACCTTGCTCTTTAAAAAGTTCCTGGAAGAATACATCATTGAAAAATCTCTGAAAAATGATTTTTAAGCATAAAAAAGAGACATACAATGTAGGTTAGGAAATCATCTTAATTGCACAGAAGTTTATACAAAAAAAACACTTAAATAACAGTTCCTGTACGAAAAACCTACTTAAATAAAAGTCCCTATACAGAAAACTTACTTAAATAACAGTCCCTATACAAAAAACATAGTACTTAAATAACAGTCCGTATACAAAAACCTACTTAAATAACAGTCCCTACACAAAAAACCTACTTAAACAGTCCCTGTACAAAAAAACCTACTTAAATAATAGTCCTTATACGAAAAACCTTTCAGAGAGACAGGGAAGAAAAATACCTCAATGCTACACTGGCCACTTTGCGGTTTATCTTCCAGGGCTCTGAATACGGAGAAAAAGAAATACCACTGCCCTGTGAGAATACCTCAACTGAAAAATAAATAAACATGAGATTGATCGTTACTATTTAAAACATTTCTTAGGGAGAAAAATATCATGAATTGCAAAACTAAAAGGCTGGATTTTGATTCATTTATTTAAATCATATTGATATTTTTGGATAATTTAGAGTATCATTTTCAAAAAATACTTTAAAGTTTTGATTTATTGTGTATTTGATTAACCCATTTCATAACAGTTCATTGGAATAAATTTGAAAATGTTCTTCATATCAAATGGTCTATGTTAAGTATTTATGTAAATTAATACAATGTATAGCCACAATAAAAGATGATTAATTGTTAAGTACAATTGAAAAACTTTAAACACTTTTAAAACTATTTTATCCTTCGATTTGAAACTTCATGTATTTTAGTAAATGTATCTTTACATGTAATCTATTTTTTTAGTCAAGACAGAAAAAATATTAAGTTATTTATTTCAGTTTTGAATGGTAATATATGGGCCTAACAATTATTTTACACATATTTTCAGGACATATCAATTTATTTCAAAATAATCCAAAAATCTATTTCTGAATATTTTTTTTGAAATCTCATTCTCTAATCCCAAAACCCTAAAAAGGCAAAAGTAGATATTACATGTACATGTATTTATGTTTAATGCTATTATGATTATTAAATCAACATTCGTTGCTTTTTTAAATCTGATGAAAAGCATTGTAAAACTTGTCTAATTCGGACACATATGGTTCCGAAAAATTGGCTGGATTAGACAGCATTCCAGATTAGTAAACATTTTAAAAACTGAATTTACTAAAGTGGACTTAAATAATACATAGTATTAGGTAATATTTTGGAATACAAAACATCCGGATTAGACAAGTTTTACTGTAATTATAGTTCGAAAACAGATTTCAAAAGCCACCTACGTGATCGCATGGCCGGTCGTCCCGCGAAGTCTGTCTTCCTTTTCACCAGTGCCTCCATGGCTACGTCATAGTCGTTCAGGAAAATAAACATCTTCGGGCCTGTATGATAATATATTACAATAAATCGTAATTTTTCTACCATCCAGGAATTTTACGTGAGTATGTGTGTATTGCTCTACTAATTTTACACTATTTTTTATGAATTACATTTATCCTGTACACTTTTAATTGCCGATGCAAAAAATATGCTGCTGAACACTTTTAATTTGAAATAGACAACTTTTGACATTGCATATTTTAAGGTGAAATAACTCTCAGCTCTAAATTTCACTATTTTTTTTTACAATTACCGACATTGATATCATGAACAACAATAGCATTATTTTCAAATGGAAAAAAAGTTTGAAATATGAAGCATTGCCTAATTTTACAGAAATGAATATTATGTCTAATCATGATATGAAGAAAATTTGAGGCAATAAATAGAAAGATTAATAATTTATTACCTCAACCTAAAATTAAAAAATATGAGGTATATATGAAAATGATATTTATTGCCAGTCATACATATCAAATTCATATTAGAAAACATATTGAAGCATTGTTTCTAAATCAGAATGTCGCATTGTTATCCGTGCTTGAAAAAAATGCATCCATCCACAAGAGTTATCTTTCCATCGATATCATAAAAGAGATTTCTTTCTTCAAAACTTTTTTACTGAGAAAAAATGTAAAATTAATGATAATTCTGCATCTGGAAATGATAAATTACTGTAGCATCATAAAATTTTTTTTAATTAGAGATAGAAATATCTCAATCTAAACAGTTTAAAAGAACTGAGTGCAAATGTTTTAGGACAAATATTATAAGTAACTATTAAACATATCAAAACAAAATAGAAGTCAATATTTGTAACATGAATCAGATTTGAATAAATTGACTATATAATGGTCCTCATTATCAAACTCTTGCTAAATCCACCGAACAGATATTCATTATTTCTTTGGGAAGTCATCCCTCTTATCAAAGGGGGCATTCCACCTAAATTATGAAGATATACATTGGAAAATTATTATTATTAATGGACTTTTGCGAGAAGAACTGACTTTTAGAGTCGATGGCTTACTTTTACATTTAAATCTGCGTTGTGTACGGAGGTACAGAATTGATAATAGATAACAAAACCTTACTAGCGGTCATAGGTATGGTGTTAGGGGCACTTACATGATTTACCTGTATGCAATCAACACAAGAGACAATTGGAGGCAGAATAAGATAACTTTAAATACCGTATTCGTAAGAGAGAGTATCTCCTTTCAATTTCATTTTCTGAAGGAATCAAACAAGGAAGAAAAAACATTCTGGAAGGAAAACTTGGCAGGAGTTGGTCTGGGTGGGAAGGGAAGGGGTTAAGGATACGGTGATTTTCGTTCCCTTCCTACACAACGTAATATGTGCTTTAAAATGACCCATTCTTATCATTTAATAAACTGTTAAGCTAAATATTTATATCGCAAAAGAGCTTCCGTATATTGTCTAAATGTAATCGTAAGCCTTCGATTGTAAAAGTCAGCGCTTCTTGCGAAAGTCCATTATTATTATCATCATCATCATCATCTCCACCCCCCCCCCCTCCAAAATTTTAAATAAAAGGTAAAAAAAAAACACACACACACAGACAAATGTTTTAAAAAATCACGGACATCAAATCAATCAATCTAAGCAATCTTTAAAAGCGATTCTCTGTAACGACCTGAACTTTAATATACATGTAGGAGATGTCGCATGCATAGTCTCCGCATTTCTCCAAAATGTTTATGAAAAAAGTCATTGATAAAGAAAATTCAAATCAAATCAAAAGGCAATTTGAACATATCGAGAGTCTTATGGTTAAAAGGACAGTACAGCACATCCCATAATAAACGACTTCATAAAATTTTCCGATAGTTTTGGAATTCTTTTTACTATCAAAATGTATAAACTTGAAGATAAAGATTTTAAATGAAAATCTCATTTTTTTCATTTTTTTTCTGACTGTTACCATGGTTACCAAGACACATAGCAACCGAATTTTTATTTGGTGTATGTTTCTGGTGTCTAGCTGTAATAATTGACTAAATTATATCAAAATCGGTAACCATGTTTGCCAAAAAAAAGTTTGTGGCTACAGAAAATAGCTCTTAAAATACATGTATTTCTGTGAAAAATGGCTTTTAGATTTGAAGATTGATGTAATGTCTGTGAAAAGTTGTCTCACCGAACTGCAATCGTAGAACTGGTCCATACCTCTTAGACAGCTTTACAACTTCTCTGTGATAGAGTGGATTTGTATACACTAAAACATATTGATTTATTGTTATATACATTAAAAATTCATTATAATCAATTATATACACGTACTTATAACAAACGCCCATTTTCCGCGGAAATTTCAGCAAATTTAAAGTGCATCTAAGACATACAATCATTATGGCAATCCAATATTTCCAAACAATTTCCTACCCGCGGACTGAGCAAAAATTGTGACTCCGCGGAATTGTGACGCTGTTTAAAAATTTCCCACATATAATTTTAATCAGATCTTGTTGCCCCAACTTAAGCTTTATGGATCTATACTATAACTATTACTGTGTGTATATGTCTTTCCACATTACTTGCGTATATTTACTGGTTATTTAAATAGTTCTGGCCTAGTTTTTGATAAGATGAAGCTTATATATATATATATATATATATATATATATATATATATATATATATATATATATATATATATATATATATATATATATATATATATTCCTACCGTGGCATCATGCTCCTTCAAAGAGCAATAATTTGTATAATTATGAATGAAATTACTTTCAATATGGTCACTTTAAAAGAAAGTCTTTTTTTGCCAAGTTGTTTTTGAAAAAAAAATTAAATATCCCTTTCTACTTTCATTACTTCACATTTAGACTGTAGACCATAATTAAACACACCGTTGAAATTTCGTATACACCAATTTAAAATTTTCAGCTGTTGGAATAACTTTACTCTGACGGCGTTTCAACCATATTAAAACATTTCATGATGACTGTACGCTGCTCCAACATACGAGTATTTTTTTACTTTTTTTCTCAGTATTTTCACCATCTGTCCAAAAAGATTAATATTAAGACATATAAAAGCTTAATCAAGTTTTGGCTTGATTTATGAAGAAAATAATCCTTTTAATCCGAAACTTTATTTCAGAGTTAATGACATTTTAACCCTGGGCCGTGCGCACTATCTACGATCTTTGGGTGCCGCGATTTTGACAAAAAATATCAAGTTAAAATAACCAAAATCAATTTTTTTCTGTCCTGGATTTTTCTGACTTGGATATTCATTTCAAATATTTTTTATACAATAAGTATATCTAGAACCATTCACTTGATAAAAACGTTATTGTCCACGAAGTTTAAGAACAATCCATATTTATGCTGCCATCGCAAAATTTCACTAACCGTGTGTTCCTGGCATATCCTGGCCACCTCCACAGCAAAACCCCAAAAATCGTTGTTAATAGCCTTGAGTTCCTGGGCATGAAATAGAGACCATAGAAATTTTCGCCATTTTTGGTGGCAAGATAATTCGGTTCAACCAACTCCTTGCATGACTTGTAGAAACAGATTTGTTGTGGTAATCGTAAAAATATGCCTAGAAACGCACGGTTAGTAATATTTTGAAATGGCAGAGAAATAAATTGAGAAACAGAGCATTTTCGTACGCAATAAATATGCACTTTTTTCAACTGGTGGCGCTGTAGCTTTCTGGTCGTCCATTCCAACTTTTTGTTAAGACCAATTAGCTACGAATCTTCAGCTTAATCTTTAGGTCCTGCTCCTATATTTTGAGAGAAGGACCTAAAGATTAAGCTGATTATTCATCGAAAATAAAGGATAAAGGATATTGTTTTGTGATGAAAGATTCTCCTACGAAAAATCAATTATTGGACACCGTTGACTTATTGCAAGAAGTGTGCTTTTTAGTTTTATGAGTTAGTTTAATACAATTAATTTGTATACCACTTTTTTTACTCTGCTTAAAGAACAGGGGGAGAGAGAGAGAGAGATGATTCTAAGATCAGATACCATCAATACATGTATTTTCTTTTTAAGAATGAAGTATTCTCACTTATAACTATTGCCATCTACTGATATCATTACTTTAAATAGATGCTTTCACAAATGCTGCATACTCCGTTGGTAATACACATTTTTTAACTATCCTAATTCACCTCTTAAATATATAGCAATAACTTTGATCAAGTAAATGATATCTTTTAATCAAAATTCATAACACTACAAAAAATTATATTAGTTATTCCATATGCATAATTATTTAAAAATTGTGAAATCATCAATTCAAATAAATAATACATATCACGAGTTTTTAAAATGGAAAAGCACTTCATATAACAAATACTAAAAAAGAAAATTAAGTGCATGTAGAGCGCTCCATAATGTTCTTGCCTGAGTAATTGCCGACGATCGGAAAAGCAAAAGGTCCTGGAGGTAGTCGGTATTTATTTTTCTTCAGAATGTAATGCACGAACAAAGCCACAATCAAACCAAGAAGAACAGCCTGAATGTCCAGCCACATATCGATTATTTATTTTCACCTGAAAAAGTATTATGAATAGCTGTTTACGGTCGATAACAACTTTTTTTTTTAAACAAACACACTGTTTACAATAAATCTCTAAATAGGTCAAGCAACATTAGGTAGGAAGAAAGACAACTTCATATGCATTTCTAAATAGAAGATGCCTTAATGTGAGGCGAATGGAAATTGGAATCAAATTAGAACTTGATATATATATTTTTTTCACATTCACTACATTTCACTTACCAGTTTCAGCTGATGGATCTTATCTTTTGTGTTATTGTTGCCACAAAAATGTCATTTGTGCATAACGAGCCCGATTTTTATTAAATTTTTTGCTTGTTTGTTTGAATTTCTTAGAGAATTTATCACTCATATTGGAATCCAAAAAATGGAGGTCGAGGACTGCAAATGTAGTACTGTACTCAAAACATTTGGTTATGGAACAGTCAGGAATGATTTTCGTGCCGAAACTTACAGCGACTAGGGGCCTCGGTTTACAGTGTATCTTATCCAAAAGGCCGATCTCTTAATTTGTCCTGCAGTGGTACATGTATCACCGTGCAGAATTGACCTTTTTAACACATTTTTTTTGAACTTTTATTTTGAACTTAAATACAACTTTTGTCAATTATTTTCATTGAAATTAGTTCTGAATCTTTATTTATTGTTGGATTACGAAATACCGAATTATGTACTTAATTGCATCTATTAGTGACACTCTCTGGACAATTGTTGAGAACTACAAAGGGACAGAGTGTTAACGCCGTCACTAATTTCTAATACCTTACAAAAACATTCATGTAATTATTTAATTTATCTTTCTTTCATGTCCATCTTATCAAAACTTTTCACAGATTGTAATTTACTCAACATATGTCATTTTTTTCACTCAATTTACTAATTGTTTTCAAAGAACTCTATTATCACTATATATAGAAGTATCTGAATTGTATGTGGCAGTTCGGAGGCCTGACGCAGTACTGGCCACTTCTGTCTGTGTTCTCCGCAAGTATTTCTTGAATGTTAAAATTGCTGTCCATCATTAAATTAAATGCTTTTATTAATAAACTCGGAAACTAAATTACCCGTTACTTTGGATTTATAATATGTGATTTCGGGAAGAGCCCTAGGAATACGGCACTACTTCTTCCGGTCCACAGCGCCACTCGTTTTACGCCAACATTCTCTCTTTCCCGATCAACGACATATAATATTTTTGACCCAAACTACGCGGTCATAAATGGTGGATGAATCCTAAGGGTAAAACAACGCCCGGGGCTACTGCATATATTTTGCAGTAGTTTGATCCCGTACCTAAACCAAGCGAGTTTCTCCACGTTACGTGGACTTTTCTGCATGATGATGGACAACTACCAATTTCGACCATCTTGGACGTCATGGACCTTTCCCACAACGATTAATGGACAAGTTCTACATCGTTTCACCAAGTGTTTTAGATGTCACAGACCTGGACACTTCGCCAAGAACTGCAATTTTCGCAGCGCACTAAAATCAAAGTCGAACCAGGTACGTGATCAGAGCAGAATTCAAGAATACTATGGACAAAAAGAACTTCTTAAGGAACTTCCGTTTAACAACATTAGAAATTCGGCTTTACGTAATTTTATGGACTTTTCATTCGTTCTTAAACACGAGCTTGCCAAAACAAAACAAACTGTGAAAGACTCCCGGGACAAACTGTTAGAAATAATTTCAAAACTTCGTAAAACAGAAAATGAATTGAAGTCGACCAAAAATCAAAATTCCGTGCTTCAAGAGACTTCGCAACAGAAAATGTCGGAACTTCAATCCAAACTGAAAACAAGCACACAAGTAATTAGTTTGCAACGGCAAGTCGGAGACCTGAAGAGACAACTCGACGGATCCCAACAAGTTATCAAAATGGCTTCGGGACGGATTCACGACCTAACTCATAAAAATCTTCACCAAGTGGAAATAATTCAAGATCAGAAAGAGGAAATAACTCATCTAAGTTCTCGCAATTCTGCTTTGGAAGATGCCAGGTCCAAGCATTGCCAGGTTATAGATGACTTACGCGAGGATAATCATCGGCATATTCGAAAAATAAAGCATCAAAAGGAAGAAATTGAAGACCTACATCAAGAAACTTATGATTTAGAACATGCCATAAAACAACATCGCGCAGTTATCGATGATTTACGTAACAAACTCTATCCAAATTCGTGCAACAGACACCACAGATGCACCCAGAACAACGACCGACGATACGATACTACCGGTGACCGAGTCCATTCCAAACACGAGGACGTGTTTTCCCTGGAGCGGAGGGAAACTATCACCGTGCAGAATTGACCTTTTTAACACATTTTCTTTTGAACTTTTATTTTGAACTTAAATACAACTTTTGTCAATTATTTTCATTGAAATTAGTTCTGAATCTTTATTTATTGTTGGATTACGAAATACCGAATTATGTACTTAATTGCATCTATTAGTGACACTCTCTGGACAATTGTTGAGAACTACAAAGGGACAGAGTGTTAACGCCGTCACTAATTTCTAATACCTTACAAAAACATTCATGTAATTATTTAATTTATCTTTCTTTCATGTCCATCTTATCAAAACTTTTCACAGATTGTAATTTACTCAACATATGTCATTTTTTTCACTCAATTTACTAATTGTTTTCAAAGAACTCTATTATCACTATA